TTGCGGGGCCGACTGCCCGTGAAGTGGATGGCGCCCGAGGCTCTGTTCGACCGCATCTACACCCACCAGAGCGACGTGTGAGTGTGCCCGCCAGGACGCAGGGCGAGCCTTCCCGGCCGGCGAGCTGCGTCCCACAGACAAAGCGTGGTCTGTGTCCGCCGCTCTGTGGCCCACACTGGTGCTACCCTGGAGTTGGGGTTTGTGCTGGGGGCTGTGGGGGCAGCCCCAGCACCTCCGCGCTCGCCCACAGGTGGTCTTTCGGGGTGCTTCTGTGGGAGATCTTCACGCTGGGCGGCTCCCCGTACCCCGGCGTGCCCGTGGAGGAGCTGTTCAAGCTGCTGAAGGAGGGCCACCGCATGGACAAGCCCAGCAACTGCACCAACGAACTGTAAGCCGGGGGCCGAGGAGGGGACAGAGGAAGGGTGGCGGCCCTCCCTGGTGCCCTCCGACCCTGGCCTGTGGCCCATCACAGGTACATGATGATGCGGGACTGCTGGCACGCCGTGCCCTCCCAGCGGCCCACCTTCAAGCAGCTGGTGGAAGACCTGGACCGCATCGTGGCCTTGACCTCCAACCAGGTAGGGCTGCCGGGCCAGCCTGGCCAGCGGGCAGCACCAAGGGGCACACCTCCGGGAAGCGAGGCTGCGGCCAGGGTGCGGCCAGCCGGCCCAGAGCCTGCCCTCCTGCCACAGGAGTACCTGGACCTGTCGATGCCCCTGGACCAGTACTCTCCTGGCTTCCCCGACACCCGGAGCTCCACCTGCTCCTCAGGGGAGGACTCCGTCTTCTCTCACGAACCATTGCCCGAGGAACCCTGTCTGCCCCGACACCCAGCCCAGCTTGCTAATGGCGGACTCAAGCGACGCTGACCCCCACCTCTCCCTCCTCAGACTCTACATGGACCAGAATCCCCACCCAGCTCCCCTGCTGGGCCAACTGCCTTCTCCCCTGTCCCCGCCGGCAGGACCCAGCTGAGTCTAGGAGGCCCTCACCGCCGAGCTCGCCTCCCTCCTTCCTCTCCACCTGCCGGTGAAAGAGAGGCAAAGAGGCAGGTGTTTGCCCCAGCCACTTCTTCCCTCCCAGGTGTCGGACCAAGACCCTGGCTGCTCCCACGCTGCCTGGAGGGCTGGGGCCGGGGAGGAGCTGGCCCTGGTGAGCGTGCTGAGCTCCGGTGGCTCTCCTGCCTCACCTCGCAGGAAGCCCCCGAGTCCTGGCGCGGGTGCCTCATCCTCCGGCCACAGCAGTCGGAAGGTTGTGCCTTGGGCCTCGCTGAAGGCAACCTGTGCGCCGAGAGATGGTGCCAGGGGCTTACTAATGCCAATACGAATTCGCTTTGCTGACCAAACACCTGGTACCAGAGGCGGCCAAGGCAGAGGTGGGACCAGCGTCGTGGCCCTGGGGCCCAGCCCCAGCCGGGGGCTTTGTACATAGCCTCGGAGAGAACACAAAGTGTATAAATCTGAGTATATATTTACATGTCTTTTTAAAAGGGTCGTTACCAGAGGTTTACCCATCGGGTAAGATGCTCCTGGTGATTGGGAGGCATCAGTTGATATATATTAAAAACAAAGAAAAAAGGAAAAAAAGGAAAATGTTTTTAAAAAGGTCATATATTTTTTGCTACTTTTGCTGTTTTATTTTTTTAAATTATGTTCTAAACCTATTTTCAGTTTAGGTCCCTCAATAAAAATTGCTGCTGCTTCATTTTCCTATGGGCTGTGTGGCAGGGAGCGCAGGTCCCCGGAGGGCGGGGTCTGTCTGGTCACCCTGTGTGCGCCCCAGTTGGCTGGGACGGCCGGGAGGTGTCTGCGTCGCGGCCTGTGCACCAGGGGTCACTGGCCCACCGCCCCACACTGCTTCCTGGGCGGAAGCTGCTGGGTGCCACCCGGAGGCCTCCAGGAAGAGGGGTGGACCTTGGACTGGCCAAGGAGTGGGGGGGGCTACAGCCATTAAGAAGAGTGTTCCCAAGGGCCAACGGAACCATTCCTAGACAGGCGCCTGCCTGCTCGCAGCTTCTCAGGGAAGACTGGTGTTGCAGGACCCTGTGTCTCACTCCCCTGCGTTGCCTTTCCCCAACCTATGTGCTGCCCTCCCTGGGTCATTCTCCCCTGCAGCCCTGTGATGTTGACTGGGACTGTCACTGCTTTGGCTAGAGTGGGAGATAGCCTCCACCCCACCCCTTAGGAAAGGAGAAAACATTCTCAACATTTTCTGTCTTGGGCTGCTTAGAAATTCACTCCTGCCACCTGCTGGTCACTGTCTCGGCCGGGTGGTTCCTGGCCCCTCGATCTGACTTGTGCCCGCAGCCCTCCTCCCAGCGTCTTGTTACAGGACCATGCTATTTTGGAGAGCCGTGTGCAACTGCTGTACTCCTCTGGGGGCAGGGGTGGGCAGGGGGGAGCCGTGTGCACCTGCTGTACCTCCAGGGGCAGGGGTGGGTGGGATGCTTTCTTTTTTTTTTCTGGGGAGGTTTTCGCTATA